CGTTGCTGTTGCTCTTGGCCCATGTTTGCACGTCAGTTGGCGGCGCTCTAATGAACGGGTTCCGCATTTTGATATATTGACACGAAAACAAAAAGCATAAAATAATACAAAGTACATCTAGTTCTGCTGGCTAATCGTGTCTAAAATTCCATGTACATAAAATGTACATGTATATGTACATATGTATGTACACGCATTGCATGCCGCTGGGCGTGGCCAGCCAACGCCTCAATTAGGCGTTAACTGATTGCAATTCTAACGGCCATTCCACATGATTGCCGCAAATCTGTTGGGCTCATTAGGCGGCGGGTTAACAAACTTGGCTGCCAGCTTGTTTATTTAAATCTAAGCATTAGCATTTGGCATCGAGCATCGCACATCGGGCCACAGTCGGAGCCACACAAAATTATAGCAATTGGCCAAGCTGCAGGCTGGACACGGGCCCGCACTCTACTGGACTTGAAAACCAAATGCTAAAGAGGCTGGGCACCGCAATCACTAGGCTTGCGCCTAAGCCTGGGCTTACATTTCGGAATGCTGGCGATAAGGAAACGCTCACCCAACGAATTTACAACCTCAAATTTAGATCAATAAAAAGAAAAAACAACACGCAGCCCAAAGAGACCACCAAAAATGTGAGCAACAAAATGTTGAGACCGAAACTTTGATATACTCTTGCAAATAACTTTGAGAGAAGACTTAGTTATAGCTTACAAATAACTAAGCAATTGGATAATTAACAAAAAATGTTCACACAAATATTTTTTGCAAATTTTCGCTGTTCATCAATAGTCAACTTTATATAAAGAGATTCATTTTTAAGATAGTTTATTTTTATAAAACCCTAAATTAATAAAAAGCTTTCTTCATTTTGCATATTTATCTATCTGTTCGACAGTTTTCCAAAATTTCTTATATAAAGTCAATAATGCCGAGGTGTAATCGTGCAACAGGCATCTGTTAACATTCCCATACCCTACTTACTTTGTATTTGGACAGTACTTAACCATACTTTCTAGGCGCACTTTAGTGCACTCGTGAGTGTCATAACAAACTGCATATACCCTTTCTCAATGGCAGGCACACACAGAATGCCACTCTTTTGGCTGGCGGCGCAGTTGGGCAGAGACCAACCCAAAAAGCGCACAGAACAATGGCCAAAAGCGTAGCTGACCTCAGTGCGAGCATTTGGCCAAATGTCTGTGTTGTGTGGGTGTGCATGCAAGTGTGTGTAAGTGTGTGCGATTGTGTGCTAAGCTTAACCCATTATGGCGCCTAACGTACTTGCAGCGCGGCAGAGAGTGAGAGAGAGGAAGAGAGCGAGGGAGAGACGAGATGGAGGCCAGGACTGGAACCAGTTCGAATGAGTTCCAATGTGGCTTCTCCATCGGATGCTCATCAAAATGATTGCATCACGAAGAACAAATTTAAACGGCGATTACCGTCACAGCCGCCCCCTACCCTTCCACCCGCCACCCCCCCTGGCTGGGCTGCTGTCAGTGTGAGGCTGTCCACTTTTGGGGCCCGAGCAATTTCTATAAATGCAGCTAAACGCATAAGTACAACAACAACAACAACTATGACTATGACTATGACTATGAGTCTAAGTATGAGTCGGACTGGGAATTGCTGGAGCTGTACGGCTTGGTCCCGGATTTATGGGCTTTCACAAAATGCCGCTGTGATTAAGTTGCATGAAAATTATAGTTTCCCTAGAACTTTTATGTCGCTTTAATTGATGCAACTCCGGATGCGGTCCAGCCGAGACGAGAGCCGAGTTGTTGCCAAGAGGGCCACATACTTGGGGCAGTTATGATCTTCTATGAGGCAAGTTGACAGATGAGCTCGCAGCATGCAGCATGCAGCATGCAGCGTGCAGCGTGCAGCATACGAGTTGCGGCCAGTTGGAACAACTTTCAACAAGCTCGTTAAGACGCAAGACAAAAACATTGTTCGCTCTGCCAGTTATGTACTTATACATATTCAATTATATTTATGGACAGTTCTATATATATGTATGCGCATGTGTGTATATATATGCAGCTGTGGCACGCAAGCCCTATGCCGCAGGAACAAACTTTTCCTGTGAAATATGAACTGCACACGCTTGCAGCACGCCCAACTAGCTAATATACGCATGAAAAAATAATAACACGTTCTTTTTTCATTACTTTGGCAGGCTAATTGGCAGCAGTTTAAGAAAATGTCGCTGCAAATGCAAAAAAAAAAAAAAACCATGCTGGTAGCACATGCAAGCAACTGACTTTAACAGCACATTTTGGAAGTCATGAACTGCATTTGGGAGGGGCGACAACTCTGGCAGTCGGCTGGTTGCCATTGTTGCAACTTGTCCGCCCGCGCGGCCAGCTTTGGCCAGGCGCTGTTGAGGGACAAGTGTAAATATTGTGATTGCAAATACGCTTTCTGATTTATAGCCGTAATTATATGCACATATATGCACACATGCACACATACGTATTCATATGCAAAATTTAATCGTGCGGCAAACGTGTAATTCAATGCGATTTTGTTGTAAGCAACGCCAACAACAACAACTGCAGCGCAGCCGCCGACTTTGACAGAGCTGCAGCTGCAGATGCAGGGCGAAGTGGAGCGTGCAGTGCGGGTATAGAAAGGAGCGGGGGCACGGGGGCTGACGCTGCACAAATGACAAAGTTGGCCGTCGCGCAAGCGCAAAGCTTTTCGCGCCTTTTATTGTCGACCAGTTGTTGCTCGAGTGGCTCCCACTGTGCCCACTGCCCGGCCAGTCAGTCCTTCAGTCTGTCCGTCTGTTCGTCTGTCCGGCTGTCAGTTTAATGCTCGACTGACTTAACACGCAAATTAATTAAGTGCGACTGCAGCGGCAGCGGCAACTGCAACTGCGACTGCGCCGCCAGCTGTGGCTTTGAGTGTGTGTTGCCAACAAATTGCTTTGTGGTTGATCAGCAGCAGCACCAACAACAACAACAACAACATGTTGCATACAAATTGTGGCAACATGCATGCATGTACTCGTGCCACAGCGTGACCTTGGCCCTGACCCTGCCCATTAAGTTGTTATCAATGCAGCTACCGAATCGCAATCGCATTCGCTTTCACATGCTCAACATTGCCTCAAATATATATATGTATGTGCGCCAATTTGTGCAGGGCATCTGACAGTCGTGCATTATTTGTCTGACCCAGCCGATAAATGTCCATTTGAATTTAGTGCACACTATAATACATTTAATGGCCGACAACTGACTGAAGGAACAGTTAATTGAATTCGAATTGTATGGGTATTTAATATTATTTATACGCCTCGTGCCCATAAAATAAAAAAGGCTAAATATTTATAGAGTTGTGCAATGATTTGTATAATTCGAGCCTTATCGATCTGTGACATATGCTAACTATGCATGCATTCATAAATAAATTGATACTCAAAGATTGTTAGAGCCTAATGGAACGACCATATGTGGTATGTTGATTGAGGCATACCAAAGGCAGGCATTATAAATGGTTAACAGCTTGCCTATTATTTTGACCATGACTGTAATGGGTTCATTTAACATGTCACTCGCTCGTTTTGCTGCATTTAAAGACAGCTTTTAAAAACATTCAACTGTCTTAAAAAAATATGACAGAGATGAAAAAAAATGAAGATAATACAAAATTGATGCATGTTGCATTACTAAAATTTTTTTCTCCAGCTATGCAAGTGCCCTTCAGCCATCAGGTAAACTATTATTGTCTCAATGTTTTTTTTTCAATATTTTTTCCTACTATACTTCTTCTACTTCCACCAGGTGCTTGGGTAATTAACACAACCCGTTCCGACGCTCTAGAATTTTACAAATTTATTGATTGCATTTTATGGTATCAGCTCTGTTCAGTTCTGTTGTGTTCTGTGTACACGTACTCCAGTTCCCGACTCGTAACTCTTGCCCCAATTTCGGGACGGATTGCGGCATGTGCCTGACAGAGTAGGCGGTCCGTGCTGTGGAGGGGCGTGGCACTGCACACTTAGGCCGAGAAGACGTCATTGGCTCTAATTGGAGTAAATTATGTTTACACATTTAGCCGTGCAATTAGGTCAGAGTTGCCTGTGTGTGTGTGTGTGTGTGTGTGTCTGATATGATATGAAATGCATACATAACTCGCTTTTACATAATTAAGCACAACATTCGATTCGATTCGAGTCGAGTCGCGACGAGACGAGGGTCGTGTGAGGTCTCGTTGCCTGGTTTTATCTACCATTTAGATTTTGGAATATTTAATTTGTTCTTGCGCTACAATTTATGTAGAACTCTTATGAATGGTTAAGGAAATGCATTTAGTAACCAGAGAGAATAAATGTCGACTAATATATCTAATTGCTGCACAAAACTGTCAACAGGCGGCGATGGAATTTAACGTCATTTGTGAATAGCAGGAAATCGAGGAGCTGAGCTTGGATTCAGTTTCTAAAAATAAGAATCACTCAGCTGGTTTTTTCTTATTCTTCGACATTCTCCGGGTGACTCAGCTAGTTCGGTTAGTTAGTTGGCCGTGGAGGACCGCACGTGCATCAAATGCAAATCGTGGCATTCATAACGACCACGCCCCGTTGGCAATTGAAAAACCTGTAGCCTGAGTATTGAGAATACCGAGTGCGCGTTAGCAGGGTAGCGTATGTATTCCTTAAGGTAATTACATTTATAAATACGCGGGGATTTTCCAATTGAGAGAGCGCACCCAGGCCAGAGAGACAGCCAGAAGATTTGCTCAACTGGTTTTTTTGCTCGTCTTTTCTGCTTGTAACTTTTGCTCGCTGCTCGTCTTGACGCACCCACTGTGCCTGAGCGAGGAGCGCGGAGCGAAGAGTGTGTGGGGGGGGGGGGGGGGGGGGGGGGCATTGTTCTAGACCGGTTATCTTGCGGCAGCTCATCGGTGCTCGGTGCTCGGCTGTCGGTAGTCGGTTCTTACATTCGCGAAACTTTTTGCAAAGATCAGTTTTGTATTAAAGCTACGCCGGAGCTGAGCTACCCACCAGACGGCCGGAGCCAAACGAACGCAGCGCGACGCAAAAGAAAAAATTACACAAAAATAACAGGAAAATATTATAATTACAAAAAAAAATTAAAATAAAAATAAAGAGTAGCAGTTAAACAAGTTTCCAACCGTCGCAAGTAATTGGCAGCCATGTCGTGCAAATATTGTAAGCTTAGAACAATTGTGGCAACTGCCCGAGCAGAGTCTTAACCCGCTCTGAATCTTCACAGCGTCAGCCATGCTGCTTCTAGTGAGCAGCTACCTCAGCCTCAGCCTGAGTCTGTGCCTCTGCATCGGACCCGCCGCCTCCAGCAGCATTTTTGCGGGAGTTATCATAAACTCTAGGTTGCCCTTTTCTATACAGAGTCGTTCCTACGTGGCGCCACCTCAGCATGATCTGCAGCGTCCGCAGGGTGAAGTAATGCCTACGGCTCAGGAAACCTGGAGCGATCAGCGCATTGCCGCCGCAGCGCACACGGGTCAACAGACCTGGAATGGTCAGCGGAATGTCGCGGAAGTGCCTACTGCTCAACCCCAGCAGCAGCAGCAGCATCATCATCAGCCCATACCCCCCTCCGCGTCCGCGTCCGCTCCAGCTGCAAGTCCTGAAGTAATAGTGAATGGCTTCAATCAAGCCGCCGCTCGTCCGGCCAGCTCGGCGGGCCCCACGCGCCCGCCGGCTCAGTACAACTACCGGGAACGCTTTAGCTCTGTGCTCTTTCAGCCGATCTCGCGCAGCAACGGGCAGCAGAATGTGGTCTATTCACCGGCCACGATGCACGCCATGCTAGGCCTGCTCTACGGCGTCTCCAGCAACGAAACTGCCGCCGAGCTGCAACGCGTAGGTCAGTTTGGGAACAAACAACTGGACGTGGCCATCGAATTTGAGCAGGTGCGACGGACGGAGAGCCAGCTGCCGAATGCCCAGCTGATTGTCGCCAATAAGCTGTACTATAATCGCGAAATCGACGAGCTGAATCCTCAGTACCTGGACTTCGCCAGCCAGTACTATGGCTCCGAGACCGAAGCGGTCAACATGCGCAAATCGCGTGATACGTCGGCCAAGATAAATGCTTGGGCCTTGGATGCCACACGCGGTATCATACGCGACCTGGTCCAGCCCAGCGACATTGATGAGCAGACGCAGGCGCTGCTGGTGACAGCCATTTACTTCAAGGCACGCTGGGCTAACGAGTTCTCCGAAATGGACACTACGGCGGAGAAGTTCCGCATGGCTAACAATGCAGCCATCACCGTGCCCATGATGTACAATGACGATCTGTTCGACATTGCCGAGCTGCCGGAGCTGGATGCCACCGCGCTGGAGCTGCCCTATGCCGGCACACCCATCTCCATGCTGATCATATTGCCCAACCAGGTGAACGGTCTGGCCCAGCTGGAACGGCAGCTGGAGCGACATGATCTCAATCAGATTGCGGCACGCCTGCGCCGCGACATGGTCACCGTGCGGCTGCCCAAATTCCGCATAGAGTTTGAACTGGATATGACGGGTCCGCTGCAGCAGCTGGGCGTGCGTCGCATGTTCACGCCCAAGTCCCAGGTAGATGCGATGCTGTTGCAGCCGGTGCGTGTGTCCAAGATACTGCAAAAGGCCTTCATCGATGTGAACGAGGCGGGCTCCGAGGCGGCAGCAGCTTCCTGTAAGTGTGGCCAAAATCCTGCCAAACGCAGCTAATCCCCTCTCTCTCTCTCTCTCTCTCTCGCTTTATCTCAAATAGATGCCAAGTTCGTGCCCTTGTCGCTGCCTGTCAAGTCGCGCGAATTTGTTGCGGATCATCCATTCGTATTTGCCATACGCACACCAGATTCGGTGCTCTTTATTGGACACGTAGTGCAGCCGCCCCAGGTGTCCGGGAGGCAGTGAATCCCCAGCCAATCCCCACCTGCTCATAAGCCGTTACGCGCAGCCCGTCCCTAGCTTTAAGTTAAGTGTACGCATTTGCTACTTGTACAACATACTCGTAATTCTCACTTTTATAATATTAAAAGATTTTCAACATATTCTCGTTTGTTCGTGTTTTGTTCTGTGATAACCTTTGGGCAGCGCCGATTGCTCAGTTTTCTGTTTTTTTTTTCTTTCTTTCTGTACGTTTTCCCGCAATGCACACGCGAAAGCTGGCAAACCCGTTTCAGGGAGAGAGAGACCCCTCGGCAGTTAACATTGTAAATGCCCCGCCCTAATGGGAGCTCTATCGAACGCCAATGCCAAGAGCTGGCACATAAACAAACACAAATCGAAACTTTGTCAATTGAACGAGGTTCACAACGGACTCTGGAAAGTCCAGCTTTATATAGAACTGCTGCTCTATGAGTAATGCAAAAATCCCGTTTAAAAATAAAAACACAAAACATAAACAAAAACAAAAAAACCAACAATTAAACTAATGAAGCGTTTATCAAGAAAATGGCATCGTATTTTATTTGCTACTTAACGCCAAATGCAACAAGAAGCTGAGCGAGGGGAGGGCGAAGAGACTGGGGCTATGCGAACTTGAACCATTTATCGCATAAATGTATTTGTTTATTCGCAAAACAATTGATAAGAATATCAGTATCTCGTGCCAAGAAAAATGAGAGTGAGCTTCAGATTGTCACAGACTAAATAGAAATACGCTTATGACAATAAATCTCTAGGCAGTTCTTGGCATACAATACATATGAGATCTGTAAGATATCCGTAAATCAGACTTAGATATATGGCTTACGGACTTACAGATATCTGCGAATCGGAGAGAGGAGAAAAGTTATTGGTTATTTCCGTATTTGGTGAATATATCTTGAAGTAGCTTCTCGACAGGGAAACAATTAACTTGTTTACTTTAGTTTTAGATGCATATATGTTGTCTATTTCTTAAGGTAACCGATAGACCTGCTTTATAGAGTATTACTACGAAATATTCTTCTCTTGGAATAGATTATATTTATTTATTGTTCTAATGTCTCTGAGCTTGAATCTTGGCACGGCTGCCAATTAGGTCAATCGCTAGAGAATCAACCAGACTATCGTTTCATTCAGCTGTCATGGTCCCCTCCCCCCTCTCATACTACTACTACTACTCATATCAGCGAAGAATTTGAATTAAAAGCATCTTCGAGTGGTTTTTGTGTGTATCTCTAAAACCGGCTCAATGTCATTGTGTGTAGATTTTCCAGCTCGCTTGTGTTTGCTTTTAATTGAGTGTGAGCTTTGGCGGCAACAACAGCCGCTGCTTGAACTTAGTCGAAAAGCTTGGGAATACCCAAATAGCCGGGAGCATGATCTACGACAACTGGAGACAACTTCTAGTCGCAGTCGCCGTGCTGCTGCTCAGTAGCCGTGCGGGCGGCAATACGGCAGCAACAGCATTGAGCAGCTCCAGCGAACGCTTCGGGCTGCGCCTGGCCAGCACCGTGGGTCTGGCGCAGCCGCACAACAACGTCGCCGTCTCTCCGTTGCTGCTGCAGGCGGCTTTAACCCTGCTCTATGCTGGGATCACGCCCGACTCGGCGGCGGCGGCGCAGCAGCTGCGCGTGGCGCTTGAGCTGCAGCAATTGGGCAGCGCGGAGCAGGCACAGCGCCAGTTCGAGCAGCTCCTGGGCGAGCTGAAGCAGCAGGCAGCAGGAGGTGGCTGCCAGCTGCAACTGCTGAGCAAGTTCTACACGCAGCAGCGCTACACGTTCAGCTTTCGGGACGAGTTTGAGGCGCGTGCCGCGGCGCTGGGCATAGACGTGCAGCGTCTGGACTTTGGCAACTGGGCGAGTGCGGCGCAGGAGATTAACTATGAGTTTCTCAGGCGCAGCAATTACAGCGTGGGCGAGCTGGTCGGCGTTGGTTTGCTGGAGTCGAGCAGCGGCTCGGACACGCCCTTTTTGCATGTTTCGGCGCTGACATTGCGCGCGCCCTGGGCGCAGGCTTTCGATCCGCAGCAGACGCAGCGCATCAACTTCTTCAGCGCGGGCCAGACGCCCAAGCTGGTCGATGCCATGTTCCTGCAGCATCGCTTCCGATACGCAGAGCTGCCCGCACTGGATGCCAGAGTGGTTGAGCTGCCCTTTGCCACAGCCGGCTTGAGTCTGCTCATCATTTATCCCAATCATTTTCAGGGATTGGCCACATTGGAGCGCCAGCTGCAGCGCTTGGATCTGCAGCAGCTGCGCCGTCAGCTCACCGAGCGCAAGTTGTCTCTGACGCTGCCCAAGTTCAGTTTATTGGCGCACACCGAGCTGCGCTCCATGCTGGAGCAGGTGAAGATATTCCGAACTAAGGAAACAAACGGAACATTCTAATTTCTCTCTCTCTCTCTCTCTCTGTTTGCAGCTGGGCCTAGCCAAGCTATTTACGTCCGAGGCGCAACTTCACAAAGTTTTCAGCTCGATTTTGTCCAGCTCGGCGCCACATCTGACAGCCGTGCCGCACACGGTGCTGCTCGAGCTGCAGGAGGCGGGCGGCGAGGCCGAGCAAACTTTTGGTAAGTCGCCCAAGTTTACGGATTGGTGGCTCGCTTTAAACAGCTGCACTCTTGTGTTTGTCTCCTTGCAGTGGCTGCCTTCACCGATCTGTTTCGCAGCACCTTGTCGCTGATGATCAATCATCCGTTCTTCTATGCCATCGGCAATGACAAGACGCTGCTGCTCGCCGGCCATGTGGTCGACATCTAGAGCCGGGGAGGAGTCCAATGCCTGCATCGGTCAAAGGTTGTCGGCTTATCAGCGACTCGCCAAGGTGATAAACGATCGGTAAACAAAACTACAAAAGCGAAATAAAAAAAAAATAACACTCAGCTGCTCAGCTAAGTGGAGAATCCAAGACGTAGTCGCAGCTCCAAAGAATCTGACAGCTCGCCGCAAATTCAGTTCACATTCGGACGCTCAACGCGCGACGACGCGAATTATCAATCAAGCAAAAAGTTTCTCTGTATATATAATATATGTATATATAAATTTAGACAATCATGTCGTTCAAAGCAGTGCAGCGCCTATTACGTAAGCCTCAATTATTGCCTATATAAGCTATATACGATCTTTATAAACTTGTATTCGAGCATAAATAAACAACAAGCCCGTCTCAATGGCCTACGAAAACCGAAGTGACAATATTTATGGCTCGTTTGATTGATAAAAATTACAATAAACCAGAAAAAGAACTGCCAGCAGCTAAATGACGACGAAGTTCTGTTACCCTACTTGAGTTATTCTGAGTAGTTTGAGACGCAACTCAATCTTAAACTGATTATTCGAATGTTTAGCTAATATATATATATATACAGCAGCCCGATCTTACCGATCTGACCGATCTGTCCGAACTTTCCGATCTTCCCCCCGCAAAAAGAAGATTCGGGTACAAATTTTAGCAGCATATCTCAACTGCGAGATCAGTACGCTTAGTCAGTTCTGCTTAGGAATCAGTTGAGATTAGATGCGGTTCATCCCATTCAAAAGATAAGGAATCAGATGAGATAAGATACGTTTCTTCCCAGTCAAAAAGTATAAAGCCATAAAGTTTATGGACTCGCAATTGTATCTTTTGTGTTTTTTTTTTACTGTGTTACACACTTCGTGACACATTTATAGTACCTTAAAGCTAGGGCACACAGAATTAATGGGCTGTTTATAGTCTGTCACAACAGCATCAAGGTTCTCAATAGACAAACACAACACGAGCACACAATTAAATTGGATTTTTATTCCAAAATATTGGTTCAATATGCAGATATGTGACAGCTGCTGTTGATGATGCAAACTTCTGTCTGTCCGACTGACTGGGGAAGTGTGCCGATCTTTGGGGTTAAGAGTTCTGCAACTAATTCATTTACTATACAGAGTATCTAATATGTTTAAACAAATACATATATCTGACCTACCTGTTTTTTGGTTAAAATGCACTCACTTATGCACAAAATATGTCTATCTTAAAGAAATTTCTAATATGGATGCTCTTTATAGCTACAATTTGAAAGATATTTGACTGGAGTTTATTTCCCCCAAATTTTGTGCATTTTCCACAAATTTGCCTTTGTTGCAATTCGTTTTTCAGTCTTTCTGGCAATCGTTGGCTGTTGCCATGGAAAAACCTTATCGGGCGTGGATGCCGCTCGCGATCGCAATCTGCTGGCCGCCGATCTCTACAATGCGGTGGGCTCGGAGCGGCTCAATGAGAACATTGTGATTGGCACCGCGGCCATACAGAGCTCCATGGCGCTGGCCTTTTACGGGGCCAAGGGCCAGACGGCCATTGAGCTGAAGGAGGGCATGCGGCTGGGCATTGGCGATGCCGATCAGGTGTCGCAGCGGCATGGCAGCTTCCAGCAGGCGCTGACGCGTGACAACAATCTGCGACTGGCCAACAATATCTACATCAACGAGAATCTGGAGTTTAAGGGCGGCTTTCGGGATGTGGCGCAGCGTCAGTTCGACTCGAACATTGACAAGCTGGACTTCCATCCGCCCTACAACAAGCGCACGACGGATAGCATCAATCGGGCGATTGCGACCAAGACGAACAATCAGATTACGGACATACTCAAGCCGGAGCTGCTCAACGATCGCACGGAGGGCGTCATTGTGAACGGTGTCACGTATGCGGCGCCCTGGCAGAAGGCCTTTAAGCCGGACAAGACTCAGCAGCGCTCGTTCCGCACCGGCAACGGGCAGACCGTTCAGGTGGAGACCATGTGGACGCTGCAGAACTTCAACTATGCCGAGGTGAGCAGCCTGGACGCCAAGGTCCTGGAGCTGCCCTATCAGAATGCCGACTATTCCATGATTGTGCTGCTGCCCAATCGCAAGGACGGACTGCGTGCACTGCAGCAGAGCCTGGTGGGCAAGAACCTGCTCAGCGAGATTGGCGACTTGAGTCAGCACAAGGTCGAGGTGGTGCTGCCCAAGTTCAGTGTGACCTTTGGCGTCAGTCTGGAGCAGCCCTTCAAGCAGGTAAGAGATTGGAAAGAAGAAAACTGAACTAGATATTTGGAAACCTTAGACCTTCATCTATCATATACATTTTCTAATGTCCAGCTGGGCATTACGACCATGTTCTCGCGCAACGGCGACTTTGGCAACATGTACCGCATGTTCGTGAGCCACTTCATCAACAGCGTGGAGCACAAGGCACATGTCGAGGTGTCTGAGGCAGGCGTGGAGCAGCCTCTAGAGTCGGGTGGTAAGCTACAAAAACTGTTCAGGTACTGGCACAATATAAATATTCCTTGCGCTACTCTTCTTTCAGTTCTGAAGAGCTTCTTCTCGCGCACCAAGAAATTCGAGGCGGATCATCCGTTCGCCTTTGCCATTAAATACAAAGATTCGATTGTCTTTATCGGCCACATCGCCAACTATGCCTATGTGTGAAGAGGCCTGCCTGCCCCCAACCACAACCTTCAGCTAATTTGAGGTGCAAATTAAATATGCGATTTGTTTGTTTTTGTTTAATGAATACAAATTTGATCAACACTCAAATTAAAACAAATAAACTTTGATGGCGCAAGCTAACACAAACATTAATTGTACAATTTATAACTATCCGAAAACAGAGACAAGTTTGTAGCTTGCAAGTTTAAAATTAGCTATAAATACCCTGTACGCATTGATAATGAGTACAAATGAGAGAAAGGTATGAGTAGAAGTTAAGTGCATGTGTCTTTGCATATGTTATCTCAAACCAAACGCAGAACAAGCGAAGTGCATATTTTGCAGTTTTAAAAGGGTACTCTTCTATGCGATTCTCATGGATTCAAGTAGCCTTGCATTTCTTTAACAAGTACAAATGGGAAGAAGGTATGTGCTTCTGTGAATGTAAGGTTTGCATATGTTATCTCAAACCAAACGCAGAACAAGTTAACTGATCGCTGCGCTGTAAATATGTTTCCCTTCTATGCTATTCTCATGAATTCAAGTAGCCTTGCATTTCTTTAATAAGTACAAATATGTCTTTGCATATGTTATCTCAAACCAAACGCAGAACAAGGTAACTGATCGCTGCGCTGTAAATATGTTTCCCTTCTATGCGATTCTCATGAATTCAAGTCGCCTCGCATGTCTTCATGCTCTACTCTTAAGTGAAGTGTTACTTCAATTTAATAAGCCTACTTTTACACGGGCATAAAATGCATACCAAGTTGATGTTCGATGCACTGCAAAATGTCTGTTCCTCCTTACCAATAGATGGGATTAGAATATTCGTGCGTTTGTATGTTAATCATAAGGTATTAACATAATTAGATACACACATGTATGCTTTTACATAAGCATCAGGCAACCCGCAAACCGTATTAAATTAAGTAGAATGCATTTTAAGTTAGTTTGTACAGAGTATCTTTCGGTCAGGCGCTTTCTGTATACATTTGAAATGGTTTAAATGTCTAACACAATCTGCGAGGCTTCACTAATCTGATTTTGATCGAGAAGTTGGGATTTGTTGATCGCCCATTTATGGATAAATAACAAAAGAGGATAAAATTCGAACCCTTCCTAAATATAATATTGCAAATATTTTATAAGCTTAAAAATTTCAACGAAATTTTAACAAAACTCAAAGTTGAGATAAATAATAAAATCATGTTTTTAATTATCAGCATTCGAGATCTGTTCGACTCACCTTTCGAGCTCCAAATGCATTTGATTTGTTGTATCCATAATGCGGCCAAAAAAATGAAGTAAAAAATCCTTTTGAGACGTTTTTTTTATCTGTTTTGTTTTCGCTTGACTTGTATTTATGTTTCACTCAGGCACACATATGTGTGTGTGTGGGTGTATGTATGTGTGTGTGTGTGCACACATAAATTAGGATTTGAACATATTTCGTATTAATTTGCCAGCCAGAGGCGGGGGCTAGCGGGGGCGCAAAGGGGTTTGGCAAGGGAACCAAACGCAGGCGCAGCCTTTTTTTGTTTTATTTGTATTTTCGCTATAATTTATTTATTTGTCGCGTTTTTTGTAATCACACATAAATCAAAGCGTTTATGGTTAGATTTTGCTTGTTTTGTTTTTGCTCTGCTTCGTTGTTGTTGTTGTTGTTGTTGTTGTTGTAACACAGATTCCAATACAAATTTATGTGCAGTTAATTTGGTTCAATGGAAAACTGGTTCGAATCGCACTCGCACTCGCCATTTGGGCTTCTTATATGTGGGGGGAAAAGCTCAACCAAGTGGGAAATTTAACGCGTTGAATTACTTGCAGCATTTTCCTGCGCTTCAATTGATGCGAAATTGTCGCACTGTGGGGCAATCGTGCAGATATTTAAGAGCATTTAATTTAATTGATGCGCGTTTTCCACTTTTACTGCTGCAGAAACACACACACACACACACACACACACACAAATGCACAAACGCGCACGCAACGAAACAGAAGCATAGAGCGTAAGAGAGAGAGGGAGAGGGAGACAGAAGGAGACGGGCAAACTGGTCACTAACTATTTCTTATTTTGTTGCTGCATTTAATGACAGGCTGGAAGGCTGGCAGGCTGGAAGACTGGAAGGCTGCCGTTTTTATAAGTTAGCCTGCGCCAAAAACAAACAAGCTACCGATTCTGACGGCCAGATAAGCATACACACACGCGTGGGCGACAATGGTAGAGTACGGGCGCGGGACGCGGGGAACGCGACGCGGACAGCTGCGCAGATCGCGCTGCAGTTTTTCGCGCACACAACAGCTAAATACGTGAAACTGAAAAAGACGCGTTTATTCTGCGCGCGCCGAAATTCGTCTGCTCCGCTTAACACCAATACACAGACTGAGCGATCCTCGACCCAACCAACAACTGTGCACCTTACGCATTCACAAGCCACAGCGCTGGGCTCTCTCCCACTCCCGTTCTCACTCTCTCACTGCGGCTGGCTCCAACGACGATGCCAACTCCAAATATCAATGCAACTTCAGCAGCGATGGAACGCGCGCTCGCTCTCACGCTCATGCTGTTGCTCTCGTGAGCGAGAATACTGGTTAACAAAATACTGGCACGCTTGTGCTTAGCTGTGCTCTGCCGGAGCGCTGCCCGTATTGGCGCTGCCTGTGCATGTAATTGTCGTTGTAATTGTAATTCTTGCAGCGCGCCCTCGCTTCGTTTGTGGTCAGCAGCAGCAGCAGCAGCAGCAGCGACGGCAGCAGCGACGCCAGTAGCAGCAACAGCGGCGTCTGTCTCTCGTCCCTCTTTGCTGCTTCTCCTGTCCCTTTGTTAGATTTGTTTGCATTGCTTGACAAGTTTTTCTTTGTTTCATGTTGGCTTTGCGGCGCGACTCGACTGGAATTTCAAGTGGGCACAGTCCAGCGCCCTATCCCCGTCCCTGACACCGTTCCCCTTCCAGGCGACGCAACAGGTGCAGCTGCAGGCGCAGGCCCAGGCGCTTTTAAAACAAATGCCACAAATGTCTTAAGAGTGCCATTATCTGATCGATCTGATCTCGATTGGAGCCCTTAAGCTAGGCATAAGAAACGACCGTTTAGCTGGGCTCAAAGGAAAGCGCATGCTCGAGCCGCACTTTTCAACACTGTTTAACCTAAAAGGGAAAAGAGAACAGTTCCATGATAAGTTTAAGCAGCAAAAGATACATATTTTCATATAAAGTATTAAGCTTAAACTAAATGCGAAAAACAATATTTTAATAATTCTTAATTAAATTCTCTTCGTCTTTGATTCAAAATAGGTGCTCAATTTTTTTAAGTGTATAAATTTCAAATGAATTTTTAATTCTCAGAACAAATTTAAATCAATTTAAATATATTGAAACCTTTTAATATGTTGCATGCATAATATAAAAGAGAGCACATAACTCTTAACTTGCTGCTTATCTTTGCTTAAGTTTCTTTCTTTCTGTTTTTTTTTTTTACCTTTTGGACCCTCTTTTTTTTGGGTCACACGTAAACGGACGACGCATAATTTAAAACAAAATTATGGCTGTTTGTATTTATTTTTAGCATGCCCAAAAATTAAACGTGTGTGAAAAATGCAATAACCGTACATGGCCCTTGAAATACCCTAACCAGGCGTGTCAAATCGATTTCAAAATAATGTCAAGCATGGAACATGCGACATATTCGCCTGACTTGGAAGGGTTTTCGAATGGAGTTACTCAGAATAAACCGCAAGATGTTGAAGTTCATTTTGTTGCTGCTGCAAATTCTGGGTCTGTGCAGGCTAAGCTTGATATAGATCATACACATATAGATCGTATACTACTATAGATCATATATATTGCTTTCTAGGCCTGACAACGGCCCTGAGTCCGATATGCAGAAGCGAATTGCCGCCGCTCAAGGTCTGCGCCTATTATGGATGTTTTTTGAACATATCGCAAGACGATCTGGAGATTCTAAACTGTTCGCGCGAGCAGCGAGGCTTGGGACGTAAGTTATAGAGAAAGTTGAGAATGTTGTTTGGCGCAATTTCACAATGAGTTCGAACCCCCCGTACAGTTCTGGTCTTCTATTCGGAGGGAAAATGCCCCGCACTTGTGGTGCCCAAGTGCAAAACATTTGACTACTAAATGAAGTTTATAAAAAAATGGGTTTCAATTTATTCAAGTTCAAGTATATGATAAAATGATATGGTACTTTAAGAGCTCTGCGTAGAGAGCTGCGGGAATATACGCTTAAGGCTAGCTCTAGAATTTGACGATGTGTCCGGTAAAGTAGACCGCGTGCTGATCGCGTATGATGAACACGAACGGATGATCGGCAACAAAGGTCTTGGGATCCAGCGGCAGGGACATGGGCACGCCAGCGGCATCTAGGGAGAACAGGATTTATAGTGTGAATGGATATAAGGGTGTGTGGCAGGAACTCACAGCTAATGCCGGCTGCCTCGCAGCCGATCTCATTCACATCGATGAAGGTCTTGTGCTGCACCTTGGTGATGCGCGTGCCGATGGGCGAATCTTGGAAGATGTTGCTGAAATCAGCCGCATCCGAGAACATGGCATTGATGCCCAGCTGCGAAAGTGTGCAGGAATTGGTTTACAATCAACTGAATCTCGAGCAATCCCTGACAGAACTAACCTTATTCAAAGTGGGCTTCAGATCGGTGTCGAACTCAAACTTAAACTTGGGCAAGTAGACGGCCACGCTCTGCCATTGCCAGCGATCCTCCAAGAGCTTGAAGTCGACGCCCTTCAGCTGCTGCTCCAGCTGCTGCAGGCCCGTACGCTTGTTGGGCAATATGAACCACATGGTCATGTTGATGTTCTCGAAGAAGAGCTCAATGGCCTTGGCGTCCAGCTCCGGATAGTCGGCATAGTAGTACCAGTTGTCCGCGAACATGGTGGGCACCTGGATGGCCTGGTTCTCGCTCAGCCAGAAGTCGCGCTCCTTGGTGTCCTCGTCGTTGAAGGGGCGTGCCCAGCGCGCCTTGAAGTAGATGGCATTGATGAGGGCCACATTTGTGTCCGGCTCCAGGTTGTCCACCACACGCTCGATCTTGCCCTGCGTCTTCTCCTTTACCCAGTTGTTGATGCGCTGCACCGCCTGCGCCTCCTGCTCAAAGTTGAGGCCCTCCACCTCCGAGTCGAAATACTTGTCGGCCACCTCGCGGAAATGCGGCGCCACCGTCACGTTCTGTCGCGTATACACCTTGTTGGCGATTTCCAACACTGTCTTCGACTTGATGTACGAATGCAGCAGCCGGTGATAGCTCTCGGCGAGGCCATCCTTGCTCTCCGTGGCCGAGGCGTGCAGCGTGCGCTGCAGCTCGGTTGCGGTCCTGCCCTCCGCTCCGTAGTAGGCCAGGCCCAGGGCCAGCTGCACGGATACCGGCGAGATGATCACGTTCTCCTGCTGGCGATCGGTGGCCAGGGTCTGAAACAGTTCGGTGGCAAACAGATTGCGCTCCTTGATGGTATTGGCCGCGGCCAACAGCGGCAGCAGCGTCAGCAGCAGATACAGAACTAGACAAACAGAGATTAGTCAACACTGGCAGCGCCTGCCGCAGCTCAACTTACAGCAGTTCATTGCGCCTGCGTCAACAGCTCAAGACTAAAAGTGAAATGGCCATAGAAGCTGTCATTTATAGGTGCGCCAGGAATCGGAATCATGGCGCGACTGCGCAGCAGCAGCGGCAGAAGCGGCAGCGGCAGCGGCTTATGTGCTGTGCATGCCAAGCAGCCAAAGCAAACAAAAGAACAAGAATAAGAAACGAAGAAAAGAAGCAACAAAGAAAAAAAAGAAACAGAAAAAGAAAGGCCGGGCGCAGGAATTGTGTGCGCTGCTTCTGGTTGGTTCTGGGCGTGAGAAATACTGGGAACACCCGCAAGAGAGCAGCCGTTTGCACTTGTTGCCCTTTTGTTCGGCTGACGTCGACGTCGCGTAGGCCTCAACTATGAGCTGTGCGACTCGCCTCGTCAAAGTGGAGCGCGCGCGCGCGCTGCGCACAGTGCCAGTCGAAAGTAGACGAACGCGCATTAACTCTAATTTCGTGTTTTATGTGCTGCATTTAATGCATTATTTTCGTATTTGTTTAGATAATGCGTACATAAACAAAGCAGCAAAGCAAACAGTGCATTGCGTAAATTGTTTATCGACTTATGCACAACTTTAGGCTCGCACACGCACACACACACACACACGCACGCACGCACACAGCGTTCCAATTAAACCGAACACGCACACATAAATTTTGTTGGAAGTGGAGACGCGGCTCTGGTTTGGCCTTATCCAATTTTTTATCATTAAAGGGGGGCCACTGTTTTAATAGAGTATATGGAGAGGGTCTAGTAATTTTGTCAATCATTATGTTGGCCATGGAAAGCGTCTTCTGTGAGCACATATATATTCTGGATCAGTATCAAGAGACTGAGTCGATATGGATATGCGTGTGTGTGAGTGTGTATTTGTGCATGTATGCATGAATGTATGTACGCATGTCTGTGAGTATGCATGCATGTATATGTGCATGTATACATGTATGTTGGCATGCATGCATGTATGTATGTATGAGTGTATGTATGTATGCGTTCATGTATGTATGCATTCATGCATGTATGTAACTTTTCAAATATGTATGTATGCGTGTATGTGCATGTATGCATATCTGCATGTATGCATATCTGCATGTATGTATGTATGCATGAATGTATGCATGTGTATATGCATGTATAAACGTCTGCATGCATATATGTATGCATGTACTAAATAAGAAAGATCCGCAGTTACGAACTACACAAATCATTTCACAAATCTGCAAGGGTATGAAAACTTCGGCGTAGTCGCTTTCTTGATATTTTCTTCTTTGTTTTTTTGTTTTGTATTCGTATCAAAGTACCGAAATTTGTTATTTATGCAGAGTTTGTGTGAAATGCTAATAAATTTTAATGGAATTTTAAAAACATGCTTTATGGCCAAGCTCGACGAGGTGCATAAATAAAAAACCGAGCTCCGCAGAATGTCCAGACTCCTTGGCCAAATTGTGGACGCTTCATTTGATTTGTGTGTGTGTGTGTGTGTGTGCGTGTGTGTTTTTTGATAAAGTATCATAAATGGCTTTGGCTACCGTGTGCAACAGTTTATTAATTGTGGGTGAAGCTTTTGATCGTAAACACTTTCTGAGCGTAGAGAAGAGTTGTTCAACCAGCTTCTGGCTTAGCCTTATATAATGCGGCATGATGTGTATGCGAGTGTGTGCGTGTGCGTATGTGTGTGTGTATCTGTGTGTGTGTGTGTGTGTGTCCTGGCAACGACCGGAGCTGCCAAAGCGCTGACCGTTCTGATTGAATGATTTCACTGATCGAGACAAAACATGTTAAAGATCGTGATGTTGTTGCTGTTGTTGTTGCTGCTGGCCAGGCTAAGGAGTCCGTTGTTGTCTTTATAGATACACAACACGGCAGCCCAGAGAGGCTTAAGACAACAACAGTAAGGAGAAGGTATGCCGATAAAAAGCGTCTTGGGACCTCTGGACAGCAGACACAAGTCTGATGCGGCAGCTCGACAGGCGACAAGGGGCAGCTGCGGCAGCTTTAGCGGGCTCAGCCTGTGGCATTGGCTGTGCTGCATGCAACGGCAGCAATATGCTGCTGATAAAAATAACTTGCCACAAAAACAAAAACAAAAAAAAAACCGAAGACTTTGAGCCGTGCGGAAAAGCACAAGAATGATGAGCCAGCCGGCAACAACAACAACAACAACAACAACGAGAACAACACGAATTATGTGATCGCTGCAGCATCTCGCGTAGAGCTGTGTGGGTTTCGGTTCTCTGCGTGCACGTAACCCAAAACCAGTTGATGATAGAGCAAAAAAGCAAAAAAGCAGAAAAGTCTGCAGGGAAAACAAAAGGCCCCACAGCGTCCAAAGTGAAAGAGATTCCAGCAGAAAGAAAAAAATATGAAGACAATGCCCGCCAAAGCGCTGCTCAAACTTTTGTTCTAAGCATAAACAATAAATTTTCACATAACTACACACAAAATAATTGCAATTTGCATAGCAACAACTACAACAACAAGAATGTTCATCTTGAAGATCATCTTCAGGTAACGCGGCGTGCACACTCAATGGGAGGCACTGTTTGCCTTGATTGGGACCGGAGTATTCTACAAATGTGGAACTGTCCCACTTTGAGGGAGGCAACATTATTGTAGTTCAAAAAGATTTCAAACAACAAATTTATAGAGTATTACAGGCGTCGGTTAAGAGCATAATAGAAGAACTCGCATATCACTTTATCTAAAATTGATATATTTTAAATAGGTTCATTTGCAACATAAGTAATATAGAACGAGAAAGTGAGGATATCTTCGGCATGCCGAAGATTTAATACCCTTTTTGACATTTCCCTTCTGAGAGTAGTAAGCCTTGTGAATGCTGAGTTTGATGAAACTCAAATATATTAGAAAATAGAATACTTTGACTTATAAGAATCTACGTTTTGACCGATCTTCCCCAAGGCAGCTATATGATATACTGGTCCAATGTTGAGAAGATTAAATATATATGTATATGATTCTTACTTATAGGTTCTGAGATCTTTGCGTTCATACATACAAACGGACAGACAGACAGATGGAAATGGCTAGATGGACTCAGCTATTGATGCTGATCAAGAATATATATAATTTATTGGGTCGGAGATGTCTCCTTCTGTGCGTTACACGTTTCATGACACAATTATAATACCCTCTACAGGATATAAAGAAAAATTTAAAGGCCTTTAGAGTTTAGTCGACTTTTTATGAGTACCAAATCTTTCAATTGATTGACCAAATGTGGGAACTTGCATGTCAGATATAATTCCAAGCTGAAATCTAAGAATATTCGTAACAGTTTTTAGAAAACTGTTAAGAAATAAACTTAAGACTTTTCAAAATGTATAGCTACTGCAAGAAAATCTTTATTGGATTTACATGATACCTTTCGACATTACGGAAGCTCGATCCCTTGACTTCATGTGCCATCCGCGTCACAAGCTACACCAGTTTTTTGCTTCTAACACATAAGAAATCTTTGTAATTACACAAATAATTATGTATTTGATTAGTTAACCTGTTGCTCAGGTCCTGCTGCCATATAATTGGCTTGGCCAGGCGCCTTATCATATTATTAAGCCAATTAGAGGCTGTTATATCGAAAATGTATATGCATATAGCTTCATTTATTTGAGCTTTAAATACAACTTTCTTAGAGCTTGTTATACAAGCTGCGTAATTAGCTAGTTGCAATCTAATCAACAGCTTGGCCAGCACTTTGCAGTGAAAACGAGGCGAACTTTCATTCAGTTTCAACAGCAATATTGACAGCAGCAACAGCAACGACAACAACAACAACAACAACAAATGGAGTTTATGCAAAACCAAAACTCGCCACGCTTCACGACAGGGCGACAAACACGAGACGGAGACAACAACAACAACAACAACGACAACAACTGAAAAAAACACTCAACCACTTGACCAGAGAGCAGACGCTGACAAGCACAACAACTAGCAACAACAACAACAACAACAACAACAACAACTAGGAACAACAACTAGACGACAACGCGGATGACACAAACGACACGTCAATCTAGCCGCTGCCCACATGCGGCATGCAACATTGAAACTGGATTTTCCAATTCGAGACGTTGCCGCGACAAATTAAGCTGGAAAAATGCAAGTACAACTGCAACAGCAACAACAACAACAACAACCAGAACAACTTGATGCGTTTTTAGAACTTGTTGTAGTTCTCGTTAATTAGCACTCGAAATAAGCGAGATCGAGAGACCTTTAAACGGGCTCCTTGCTATGCAAGTCGACGGGGCGCGCCTTTCAGTTTCTACGAAATATCGGCAACATCTTCGCTTTGGCATCAAATAAGGCGCATTGCCGCATCGCGACATGTTGTTAATGTCCGCTAAGGCAGCATTGACAGACGCCCAGTCAATCGATATAGGCACCATGATCTGCATGACAAGTGGGCGCAGATCGCGCAGATCGAGAATCGAGAATCGAACTGCCCAACGCAACGCTTCAATTTGGAGCATATCGAGAGCGTATCTACAGCCGAAACAAATCAATTTGATTGGCTTTTTTTTCTTTTGGCTAAAATAAACAAACATTTGATTTGTCAACGCAACGATCTAGCGTTAGATCGAGCGCTAGTACACTCAGAGAAAAACGAAGTGCGTTCGGGTACAGCATTCGCATTGCATTCTGCTCAAAAGTTCATAGTTGCTTTAATTATTTAACTTAACATGACACATAAGCATAATTTAAATATGTAAAAGTAAACAAAGATCGTTGACTTGTTTATACACTCAGAGAAAAGTCATGTACTTATATAGAGCTCAAGCGAATTCGAGGCCAAGTCCTTCTCTAGATAAAATCTCAGAATTTCTAGCATATTTATTTATTTTTATTTTTATGACAAATTTATACCAAAACCCTTGACTTGTACTTCTACTTAGAATTAGAATTAGTACTTCAACTTAAACGCATTTAACTCTTGTTTTAAGACAGTTTAGCATTAAATAAAGTTTTCACAAGAAGAATTTCGATATCAAATATTGATCAAAGCTACATCTTGAGTGCTTATCTTTTGCCAAGTGTAGAATCGTTTGATAAATATCGCAACTCACACACACACACACATGCAAGCACACATGCAAGCACACATGCAAGTACACATGCAAGTACACAT